ATAACTGCTTAGTAGCCTAACATTAACCCCTTGTATGTAAATGGTTTTGAATTGTGAAATTTAAATTGCAGATTATAGGATTTTTTTTCTCACCTTAAAATTATTTTATCTGAGTCCAATCAGGGACACGACTTACTAGATATTAAGCAACCTAGGTATAACCTCAGGTTGTTCAACTTCTTTACGACAGCGTAACACATGGCAGGTGGGCCTTAACGCTCAGCTGTCACTGTTCAGCGGCGTGCTTAATTGGTGCCCCCAGAATCTGTTGGTTCCAACCCTTCCACAATCTGCTTAAGTAAAACATGTGTATTGTTATCTATATAGCTGTTAGAAAGACTTTTCCTCCATTGTCACTGGTTCCGAAACTAAGGGCACATTCATATTCCTGCATATGTGTGTTTTTAGCACATGTTACTGTATGTGTTTATTTTCTTTCTGTGCCTTTTTTAAATGTGTTTGTGCCAGTTCTTATGGATTACATATGCATGTTTTTGTTAATCCACTATGCAATATCAGGTATAATGATTCAGAACAAGGAGTTTCCATGGGGCAGGTGTGTTTAGAAACGTTAAAAAATGATTTAACGTAAAAACGTTAAAAAATTATTTCTGTGCATTTACAATTTAATTTCAGTGGACCTACTTAACACGGGGCAGGTGTGTTTATATACACACATACATGAATCATATCCTATTTATTAAAAACACATTTGAAACACATTAAATTAGGGATGAGGTTCAGGTTTACTGCTACCACGAACTCGCAGCAAATCTCTGGATTTTGCAATCTTTGCAAATGGCACAATTGTGGCTGAAAACTTTGCATGTTCACCACCAAAAATAAGGATCAAGTCATAATGCCGTGCATAATGCCTTTGTCTAACGGGACTTCTGTTCCTTGTTCCCATGTACGGGAGTCTATGTTTCCGAAATGCTGTTACTTGCTTTCAAAACTTAATAAAAATTATTTTCAAAGCCTTTGCCTTTGATGCGCTGGGTCACAAGATCCAGTCATTGGAAGGAATGGATAACCCAGCCCCTGTACAATAAAAGGATGGGCTCATAGCAGCCATCTTGTCATGGTGTGTTGGAGTTGTTATGGTGACGGTTCTGTCGGGAGACATACTTTTTTTTTGCATTGATACATGTCCCCTATGGCAGTGCCTGGCTTTCCATGCCTTTTGTCTGAAAATAGCTTGCTTATTAGCCCTAAAAATGGATTAAAAAAATAACAAGAACCACCATAGACTTCAATGGGATTCGCCCCAAAGTTGCAAACTTCAAACAAGATTTGAAAAATGTTATCCATATTTCAAGAAACAAAATGCATACATACATAGTGACACTAAACTCATGATTGAAATCTTAAATGCATTCAAGTACCTTAACTATTAACAAAAATGTACCTTATTTGTGTATCACTCGTCTATAAATCCTCAAATCATCTCTGAATTGGTGCTGATACTGTCGTGCCTTTTGGAGGATGGCTACTTTTGTTACTCATGGTCCCTTTGTGTGTTGTAAAGTAGTCACCGCTCCAAGCTTGCTCCCTTGATGGACTACAATCTCACATTTAGTTTACTAATTTGTATTGAGATTGTAGTCCACCACAGCAGTGAGCTTGGAGTGGTGGCTACTTTACAACACACAGGAGACATATGTAGAGAACAGGGCCACACTGTTACTTTGATTAATCTCACACAAAGAGAGCAAAATTAAATTGCAAAATATGTCTAACAAACCAATGTATGATACTAAACTCTGGAGCTAAACCTTAAAAATGCATTCAAGTACCTTAACTATTAACAAAAATGTATCTTATTTGTGTATTACTCGGCTGTAGATCCCCAAATCATCTGTGAATTCATGCCGACACTGTTCTTCCTTCTGGAGGGTGGCTACTTTTGTTCCCCATGGTCCCTGTGTGTGTTGTAAAGTAGCCACCACTCCAAGCTCACTCGTGTGGTGGACTACATCAGGGGAGCAAGCCTGGAGCGGTGACTACTTTACAACACACACAGGGACCATGAGTAACAGACGTAACCATCCTCCGGAAGGAAGGACAGTGTCAGCACCAATTCAGAGGTCATTTGAGGATCTAGAGCCAAGTGATACCAAAATAAGCTACATTTTTGTTAATAGGTAGGGTACATGAATGCATTTTTAAGATTTAACTCCTGAGTTTAGTGTCACTTTAAATGCAGAAAATGTAAATGTGTGAACAAGCCCTTAAGAAAAGTCTTTTCAAAGTGGACACAGGAATAAAAATAACTCTTCCCCATTCTGTCCATAACACTAGACAACTATGGTTAGAGTTCCACTTCAGTTTCAAGCTAAGTGATTGAAAATATCCTGCTTAGTACAGACTAACTAAACTTACTCATTTGTTCTGAAGGGGTTAGATGATTTTGTAGTTAGATATACTTTGCAGAACTAGTGTAGGTGGCAGGTAAAAAAAAAAGGATTTTGCAGGCAAGGCACATCCTGTGTGAGGAGACAAAGTAAAGATACAACAGGAAGCTGACATCCTTTTCTAAGACAGAGCCATAGTAATTCTATGACACGAGGGGTCACATAATGCTCTCAGTGTGAAGTTGCGAAATGGTCAGTAAGTGATGCTGTATTATTTTTTGGCCATGCAAAGTCGCTAAGCGATGGTTAAGAGAAAAGAGATTAAGTGGTGCTATGCCAAAAGATGAGTGATTACACAATGTTTATGAGAAATTGGTGTGTACGGGCGGATGTGTATAAGGGAAGTAAAGGGCGCTACAATGGAATACAGATAGAGAATAGCAAGAAAGGTTAAAGTATGCTTTGCAGTAAGACTGGTTATGTAAAGCCTTGGAAGAAGTGACTCTACAGACAAAGTGGAATTTTGTGATGCTGTGGAAGGTGAATTACATTATCCTGCACAGTTAGAGGTGTTAAATAATTTTGTGGAACATGGTGTCAAATGATAAAAGTAATAAAGTGCTGTGGGAAAGAAAAAATGCTGATGAAGAAGTAGGGCGACATGATGCTGCGGACATAGGACACTGTGCAAGATGAGAGTGATATAATGCTGAGACAGAAGATAGGGTCGAGTAATACTGTTAATAAAAAAGAGGGATATTATGATGTGAAATAGGAGGGGTCATGTGATATTGTCAATGAAGAGGGGTGAGCTGATGTTGTACAAATACAGGGGTTAAGTGATGTTGTTAATAAACTGGAGGCATATGATGATGTGGAAAAAGAATGGTCAAGTATTATTGTTAATGAAGTGGGGTGACATGATGTTGTGGAGGTACACAGGTTAGGTGATGCTCTTAATGAAATAGAGTAATATGATGCCATGGAAGAAGAAGGATCAAATTACATTGTTAATAAGAGGGGTGACATGAAGTTGTGAAAGTACGAAGTTTTAAGTGATGCTGTTAATAAAATAAGGGGGGGTATGATGCTGTAGAAGAAGGGTCAAGTGATTGTGTTAGGGAAGAGAGGTGACATGATGTTGTGGAAGTGCATGGGTTAAGTGATGCTGTTAATAAAATAGGAAGGTTATGATGCTGCGGAAGAAGAATGGTCAAGTAATTGTGCAACGGAAGAGGGGTGACATGAAGTTGTGGAAGTACATGGGTTAAGTGATGCTGTTAATATAATAGGGGGGATATGATGCCGTGGAATAAGAAGGGTCAAATTACATTGTTAAAGAAGAGGGGTGACATGAAGTTGTGAAAGTACATGGGTCAAGTGATGCAGTTAATGAACTAGGGTGATATGATGCCTTGGAAGAAGAAGGGTCAAATGACCATATGAAAGAAGAGGGGTGACATGAAGTTGTCGAGGTACATGGGTTAAGTGATGCTTTTAATAAATGAAGGTGGGGAGTGCTCTGATGCTGTGGAAGAACAGGGGTCAAGTGATGCAGTTAATGAACAAGGGTGATATGATGCCTTGGAAGAAGAAGGGTCAAATGACAGTATGAAAGAAGAGGGGTGACATGAAGTTGTGGAGGTAGATGGGTTAAGTGATGCGTTTAATAAATGAAGGTGGGGAGTGCTCTGATGCAGTGGAAGAACAGGGGTCAAGTGATGCACTTATTGAACTAGGGTGATATGATGCTTTGGAAGAAGAAGGGTCAAATGACATGGTAAAAAGAGGGGTGACATAAGGTTGTTGAGGTACACGGGTTAAGTGAAGCTGTTAAAATAGGGGGGATATGATGCTGTGGAAGAAGAATGATCAAGTGGTTTTGTTAAGGAAGTGTGGTGACAGGATGTTGTGGCAGTACACAGGTTAAGCAATGCTGTTAATGAACTAAGGGAACGGGGGAAGGGGGGGCTCTGAATGCAATTAATGTACAGGGGGATGTGATACTGCTGAACAAGGGGATGCCATGATTCTGTAGCAGAGAAAAGGTTAAGGGACACCATGAAAGCATAGGTCATGATGCTCTGTTAAAGTGCAGGTGGCATAGAAGCGGAGGGGCAATGCAGAGATGGCAAAGAATTGGGATATAGTGATGCTGTAGAATGAGAGAGGTTAAGTCATGTTTTGGCAGGTGAAAGGTTAAATGATGCTGTGGCAGGCGCGGGATTAATGTCTGATATAAATCCTGTCACGCTTGTTACAGCCTCTGTCAGAGGAAAATATTCTCATTTGTAAGCTGGATTTGAAAATGAGTTTGTGTTTGGAAACATTTGCTGCATTTTGAACAGCAAATATGTTTTAGGACTCATGCTTTGCAGTGTGTGTGTGTGCTTCTGTATATGTATTGCTCTCTCATTAATAATGTGTACATACTGCATAGGTGCAAATGCACATATACACCATATATATGCATACAGATATGTTTGGCAATGCTGTATGTAAATCTATAATACATAAGCATTCGTGGTTACTCTTTTTCCCACGCTCTCTTCTCTTTCATGTATACCTAGTCTTCATTCTCACTCCCCCCTTTTCACACACACATACATTCTGTTTCTCTTGCATCCTTTCATTCGCTCGCTACTCTCCTCTATCTCACACATTCTACCCCCTCCTCTCTCCCTCTCTCTCATCACAGTGCAGTGTGTATATGCTCATAGCTGCAGTATACAGGGACACAGAGATTTTTTTTTTGTGTGTGTGTGCGCAAGAGAGCATTTCCACAGATGCACATATTCATTCTTGTTCACATGCCAGAAGACTTATGTTTTCACACATGCATGTTCTCACACATGCCAGCTTGCCGTGCAGCTGAACAGGGGATGCACAACGGTGGATTCACAAGGTGATTACTCTTTGTAAATTTGGGGGAGAGGGAAGAGTGCTAGGGTGGGGAGGAGGTCTGCAGTATACAGCGAGGAGAGGGAAAAGTGAATCAATAAAACCCCAGTATTATGGGAATAACAGAGGCAGCGTGTATAGAAGAAAGGAAGGTGCAGATACGGGGAGCGAAATGGAGAGAAAAAAGGTGAGAGGAAGCAATTAACTGTATAGTTAGAAGATTGAGAGCCAGAGGGTTCAGAGAGAGGTGCAGAGGCAAACCTAGAATGAGTTGGGTTAAGAGTGTGGTTTGTGGAGAAAAAGGGTCATTAAGCATTAGCGGAGTGCCTGGAAGACACAGAGAAGAATAGACACCGACACACAGAAAAATAATGAACTCGCGAGCAGGAGAGGAAGATGCAGTCATGAGCGCAGAAATGAAACAACTTACAGCCTAGTGTACATCAGAAAGAGATCATGTGAGAAATGCCAAACAGCACAGTGAGTGGAAGAAATGACTTATCACTGAGGGCAAGGAAGGAATGAGAGAGAAAAGGGCCTTAAGTGCATTATGGTATGTGAAAAAATCCCAAAGGTAAAGGGGTAGAAAATTCAGGCAAGAAAAGGAAGCAAATGAGCACAGTGAGGGGGGTAGAAAAATGATGTCAGAAAGACTAAGATAGATCTGCTTTTCCAAGGCACAGGGAGGGAACTCATTTAATACATCAAAAACAGTGACGGGTGTCAATCAAGATGTGTCACATTAGTGGCTTCCCCCTTATGTCAAAGAAGATAGGCTTTATTAGCGTTGTAAGAATAGTTCCCAACAAGTAAGAGCTAGGAGCAAGGCACTGATGTTTCCTCAGTTTGTTGGATTCAGATATGGGATGGAGTCCTTCATTCAGTCCAGCATCAGGATTGGATCTTGATGGTATCTTTATATTACTGGTAGACATGCCAAAGGGATATACCTGTTAGAGGTATGACAGCTGCTCCCTTATTACCGTATATCAGCATCAGAATCAGATGTTTACTTGACTACTTTAGTGTCACCTCTGTGTGTGTCAGTATTAGAGGTAGACTGTTGGCTGCTCTAGTACATCCATTTTAGATTGATAAAAAAAGCATCATAAGTTTGTCAGAATCTAAATTAGAGCTACATATCCCTAGTATGTGTCAGCTTGGTACAGGAATTCAATAATAGTCATATTACTGTCATGCCTGGGACAAGAGCTCCCTTTATATTTCGCACCAGGAATAATAACTGTTTGTTGTTATGTCAACGTTTGCATGTAGACCCTCTTTATACGTTTGGATTTAAAATGCCTAAATACAACAAGTGTAGACCAGGTTAAGTTGTATTAGGCCTAATCAAATGATGGTGAGAACATGCATGAGGAACTCATGATGTTCAGGCCTGGCAGATCACTGCCCAGATATCAAACAGGATTGTCACTGCAGTTATGTGATAACTGGATTTGTCCATGTGTGCAGCCATCATATAAACCCTTCTGTGCAACAGGGAAATTAATCTTGAGTGCCAAACATCCAGATTACTTAAATTTTAATTGTGTATGAGCAAATGGATTTAAAATCAGTCTGCCCAGGTCAAGTGAGAAGGCTCAATATCCATGAGTATGGGCACCTTTAGGGCTATCTCAGCATGTCAGTAGTGAACTATGTATACTCTAAATATATAAGTATTAAGGGTAAAACATAGATTCTTTCAATATGTCAGTGTAAGTTTGGGATCAGGAAAAATGAGTATGGAAATAGTTTCTGTAGGTCGTGCTGAATGTAAAAAAGAAAGAAAGCTGTAGAAACTGTAAGAAGTCAAAGACTCCCTAGTCTGGTCAGTTTTAGTTCCATGAAAGAGGTATGCCTACACTAGTATAGACAGGACATTACGGTTACAAAAAGCCTAATTTCACCATATGGTGAAGCTCAGTAAATTGATCTCCCTATTTCAGTGCTCATTTATGTGCCTGAAAATATAGAACACACCTAATCACAGTTCAGTCTGGGTTTATGCATTCTGTGCTTCCAGACACACTAGTTTATAAAAAGATATGCATATCATGTCAATACCAATTGACTGCGGCTCACAGTACAATTACTGATTGCATACATAGTCACATGGAAACTGTTTTGCCATGTTTGAAGGGACCAAAGTGCCTATAGATGTTAAATGCCTTTCATCCAGAAACTTCAATTTTAACAAGTTTAGATGATAAATTGGAAACTATGTGCACCTGAGATATTGTCAGGCATCCTGTGTATAGACATGGCCATACACCTTACAACCATTGTACAATTTCTTTTGTCCCGACCTCGCACCCTTGTTCAATTTTCGTTCAAATAGACCAATGCAGATTTCGATTATCGTTCGTCAGCAATACTAACTGGCAGAATTTCGTCGATCAACAGAACATATTTTCATTTGCGCATGTGCAGTATTCATCTTGCAATTTTTGTTCTATGAAAACGCCACTAATCCATCGATTTTGGTTCATTTTGAAATTAGTTTTCTAGCTTGCCCGATAGATACAGTACTTGCGGTTGTGCACTTCCCATCAACTGGCCGATTATCGGACGAAACCGCGATCGCGGATGAAAATCGAATGATAATTGTAAGACTATCTGCTGCATTGCAGAAATACATTTTTAGTAATCAGATTGTTTTCTAAGATCAAGTCCTTTTTACTGCCTATGGGCATCATCCTCGTGGCATCTGTATACAGGCCACGTAGATGCACATACACCATGTGTGTTAGGTTATACACTCCATACATTCTATTAGAGAGACAACAGACAGTGCTCAGGGTTGTATGTCCACTGTTTTTGACAAAACTTTCCTGTTTTATTATTTTATAGCGAAATATTTTTCCCTCATAATTTCACTAATGCTAGGAGATTCACATTTACATCAAACATGGCTATAAAATTGTGCTATTTAACACTAGCTACCCATGAGGAAAATTATCATAGACAGGATAAAGTAGGATATACACGGTAGATTTTCGAACGTTTGTATGAAAAATCTTGTCGGAACGTTTGACAATGCCATCAGATACTTGGCGTATGTCATTCGAAATCTTGTTTGATTTCCGTTTTGTTTTAACATTCAATTTTGAAATGAATGGAGTTTTACTGAATGAAAACCACATTCCTTGTTAGAATTGAATTAGATCGAGAAAACCTTTCCAACATGCTCCTTCAAATTTTTTCATCACTGCAGTCGAAATCGATCATCCTTTTTGTCGAAAGGGACGAAAATCGATGATCTAGTGGTGTTTTCGTACAATGCCCTCGGCATTGGGAGGGTGCTTTTCCAGGGTCCTGGTCCATGTGCCGAAGGGGACAAGGGCCTCTTCCAAACAAGCCCTGACCTGTCAGTTTTGGGGGTCTGCTGGCAGGGTGGCATACTTTCATTGGGTACCCCTTTAATTAAGGGACAGCCGGATGCTGCCCCCCCACCCTTGTGAATGAGTAAGGGGTTCTCATTCACTTAAGGGTTAGAAGCAAGTGTAAATAAACAGACCACACTTTTGAAAAGTTCTTCAACAGAAAAAAAACACTACAAAATTCCTTTACAACCCATCCGCACCTGCCAAACACATGCTGCAAAATGACAGCTGCCGTCCAAATGTAAACAACTAGGCAAAGCTAGCGATGACACCACTGCTGGCTCCGCCTATTTGTTTTGATTTGGCTGTCATATGGGCCTTGTCCAAAACCTTTTACTTTTTTTCAATTCAAGGACTTCAATTCAAGGACTTTTTGAAAAGTGTGGTCTGTTTATTTACACTTTCTTTTAACCCTTTAGTGAATGAGTAGGGGTTCAAGTACCCCATATTCATTCACAAGGTGCTTCTTAATTAAAGGGATACCCCAATTCAAATAAGCCCCCCTGCCCGCACACCACCACAACCAACGGGTCAGGGCTTGTAGGGAAGAGGCCCTTGTCCCCATCGGCACAGGAACAAAGTGCTTTTCCAGGAGCACCCTGGAAAAGCACCTTCCCAATGCTGAGGGCATGGGGCCTGGTATGGTGCAGGGGGGGGGCACTCGCTCACCCCCCCCCCCCCCCCTCTCAAGAAAAATGGGGGTGATATCCGTATTATTTATCAAAACCCACTTCTTACTGCTCTAGAGGGGTAGGTCAGCTAAGAAACACACACCATAAACTGTAGGTTTAAAAGAATATACTGTAGCAGGAATTTAAACATACACAGCTTGATTATTGATAAAGAAACGATTTCTGTAATAACAAAAACACCAAAACACAATCAATATTAAATACACTACTAAACCAGGGAAAACACTAACACCTCTACAACACAAGCATTATATTGTAAACTGGCTGGCATAACTTGTCAATTGAAGGTACGGTTATTACCCATCCTGTAAGATGTACACAGATTCTGCACTGGCTTCCAAAATGGCTTCCTCTCAGATGGCCTCCTCTCAGCTGGGCTGCTCCCAAAATGGCTTATTCCCCTCAGGGCCTCTGTCCCAAAATGGCTTTTCTTGCTCCCAGGGCCTCAGCCTCGTTATTCTAACTAAACCCATTCGCTATCATTAGAAACCCCTGATTGGTCCACAAAACCTAATCAGAGCACGATACCGATTGGATGACAACTTAAATGCCTTTGATCTAATCACCACTTAGGTTACCCCTCACCTGGCTGGCTCCATTTTGTCTACAAAGAGTATATATACACTGAATGGCCAGATTGTTATGACCACCCCATCAGTACTTCGTTGGGCCACGAGATGACTCCAGAAGATGACTTCGTTGGGCCGCCTTGTGACTCCACGAGATGTTGAAAGGTGATGCGAGGAATCTGACACTGCACTGTTGCCCTTCTGTTGTCTTGTACCAGTCTTGCCACTCTCCGTTCTGCCCTAACATTGACCAGTCGCTGGCGGCCACAATTCGCACGTTCAGACCCAGATTTTCGATTGACAGTCCAGTCTTTAAACACTTTAACAACATCCGCTCTTGGTAAACAACCTGCTTCCCTATTTATAATGGTCTGGCCCTCTAGCAACTTCAACGCAAAATTATAGCTAATTATAGCTAATTTGCCTACAAACGTCAGGTGGTTATAATAATCTGGCCACTCAGTGTATATGCATGTTATCTTGTGTTAATTTCCTACACAATGGATACTCCCAAATTACCACTCGGTGTAAAACCACTTGTACATTTTAACATATCAAGGTGCCCTTTGATCTCAAAGACAACAAAAGGGTTGAGATCTGCAGGGCATATTAGCATGCTAAACAAGTGTCAGAGAAGCCCAATTATAATTCGATTCGCATCTGGGTGCACAAATGTATACTTTTGGCTAATCATATTTCTTCCAATTTTCCCACCATATTATTATATAGATGCATTTATTTCAATATGGGCCTTGGGATTTCTTACAGTTGCTCCTTAAAATTCCTACCAGACCTAAAGGGCCTGGTATGACTTTTGGGGGGGGAACCCCACATACTTTTTTTTTACTTTTTAACTTGGGGTCTCTCCTAACATGCCAACCAGACCTAAATGGTCTGGTATGGTTTAGGAGGGGGACCCCATGGCATTTTTTCCCCTTTGTTTGCATTTTATTTATTTTTTGCATTTGGTTCAGTCATTCTGCTCGTTACCTCGCTGAGCGGCATTCGGCTATTCACTTACTGCCGTTCTGCCCCTATGAAAATACAGCAGTGAGAGAACTGCCGGAGGTTCGGCTCATCCGATCCAGATGTTGGATCGGCGGAGTCGAACGTGTTCTTCATTTCGCCTGAGCTGAACATGCTGAGCATGTTTTCCTGAACCGAGGGCCGCCGCAGCCAACTGATGTACAGCTGAAATCAGCCGTACAGGGCGGAAGTGAATAGCTGAATGGTGTTTGGCTCACTTCACATCGGCTTGGTTATTTACTTGGCTGCCTTCCGCAGCTTAGTGAATAACCCACTTAGTTGTAAACACCCTTTTTGCCAATGCAAGTTGTAGTATGCAGCCCTGCAGTAGCCGTCAGCACAGCAGAACCTTTGATGCCTTCATCTTCTCCATATATGATAAGATAATATCAGCCATTATCAGTCGCATTAACTATTCTTTTTTTTTTTCTTTAGGTGATAAAGCACTTCCCTCTACCTCTTTTACCTTCTCTCTCCATCATGTCCTTTTTTCTTTTTACCCTGTTGCTCTTACCTTCAGTTACTGTCACCACATCTCCTCCAAATTCGTCCACCTGTGGACCAAGTCCTGAACTAAATGGAGAATGTACTGATGGTGTGTTACTTCCTGCCTGGTTGCCACATCCACCATCAACAGGTGATCGAGCAGCACGCGCCATTGTATATTTTGTGGCACTGGTATACATGTTCTTGGGAATGTCCATAATAGCTGACCGATTTATGGCATCTATTGAGGTCATTACTTCACAAGAGAGGCGAATCACATTCAGACACCCAAATGGGGAGGTGACAGTAACAAGTGTACGCATATGGAATGAAACAGTTTCCAACCTTACCCTAATGGCATTAGGTTCCTCAGCTCCAGAGATTTTACTTTCTATCATTGAAGTAGTTGGAAGAGGCTTCGAACCTGGAGACATGGGACCCAGCACCATTGTTGGCTCAGCTGCATTTAACATGTTTGTTATAATTGGACTATGTGTTATGGTAGTCCCTGATGGTGAAACTCGTCGAATTCGTCACCCACGGGTTTTTGCAGTCACAGCTTTTTGGAGCGTCTTTGCATATGTTTGGCTGTTCCTCATTTTGTCTTGGTCCTCACCGGGAGAGGTGGAGATATGGGAAGCACTACTGACATTTTTGTTCTTCCCAATATGTGTCCTACAGGCCTGGATAGCTGACAGGCGGTTGTTATTTTACCGTTACTCAGGAAGAAGAGCAGGCAGAGCAAAGTACAGAGCTGGCAAAAGCAGAGGAGTTTTGGTTGGTGCAGAAGATGCAGTTGCTCAAGAGGATGCAGGAGAGATGAGCATGGCTGGAAATGAAAGAGCTGTAGATTTTGAGGAGGAAGAGGAAGAGGAACGGAGAGATATGGCCAGAGTGTTTAAAGACATGCGTCAGCGATTTCCTGGTAAAGACATGGAACAACTTATGGAACTAGCAAATTACCAGACACTTGTTCAACAACAAAAAAGCAGAGCATTTTATAGGATCCAAGCCACGAGGATGATGATCGGTGCAGGAAATGTACTAAAGAAGCATGCAGCAGATCAGGCAAGGAGAGCATTGACAGATGGTGGGACCAGAGATGACGTGGGTAGGCGAGGTGAAGAAGATGATCAGTGGACAGAGGTGGAATTTGAACACACACATTACCAGTGTTTTGAAAATTGCGGAACAGTTAGTGTTTGGGTCTTTTGTAAAAGAGTTAATGGTGAAGGGGCTGTTCAGGTAGACTATAGAACTGAAGATGGTACAGCCAATGCGGGGTCAGACTATGAATTGTTAGAAGGCACACTTGTGTTCCAGGCTGGTGAAACCAGAAAAGAACTGCGTCTGGGCATTATTGATGACGATGTATTTGAGGAAGATGAACATTTCTATGTGCAACTGAGCAACCCACGCAGAGCAAGAGGTGTAAAGGAGGGGCAAGGTAGAGTAAGGCTTGGGGCTGGGAAGAGAGCCACAGTGACTATATTTGATGATGACCATGCTGGTATCTTTAGCTTTGACTCAAGTAGCATGAGAGTAAGTGAGAGTGTGGGTACCATGAGGGCAAAGGTGGTACGGGGGTCAGGAGCAAGAGGGAAAGTTGTGATTCCTTACAGGACAAGCGAGGGAACAGCAAAAGCAGGAGAGGACTACCTGGAAGTGGCTGGAAAAGTGGAATTCCAAAATGATGAGACCACGTGAGTATAGTTTAACAATCTATTATATAAATAAATAGTCATATATCAAAGAAGTGCTACCATTACAAATAATTGCATCCAGACGAACTGTAACTTGTACAGTTCATTACAGTAGAAGTATGGCTTTATCATCTTATTCAATTGCTATATAACATTCCTATGTTATTTTCTATTGATGTTTTATATATTAATAAATGTTATAAACTGTCTTTTTACATATAAATGTGAGTGTGATGGGTAAAGATATTCATTAGAATGTTATTCAGGTTTAAAAGGCTTACAAACATTTTTAAAGGAAAACTATTGTTCAAGAAATCCCATCTGTAAAGATAAATGTACAGATAAATGTTAACAAGGACTTTACAGAAGCTTTTTAACCGTTTTCTATATCAGAGAAAGTACAAGTGCTGTTATAGATATAAACTGCTGTGTTCAGAAATAATCCCAAATAACCTAGAATAAAATACAGGAGGCTAAGACATAAAGTGCAATTTAGAGGCTACAGTTTATTTTATATAAATAGCTGATTATCAAATGCTAAGGGAGTGTTTATATTCAAACTTTTACACTGTAGCATGGGGAGTAATACTATAGCCACTTTAGATGTAATGTCTTTTTATAGGGTAAAACCATACTAAAGGCATGTTTTAAAGCCCAACTTTAGTTTAAATCAGTTACAGTACATTCTAGGTGCATCAAATTTTAAAAAAAGGTGTTTGCCTACTTTTTTGAGGGGAGAGAACCCAAAAATATTTGCCTTTGTTAACTTTTGTGCTGATATCTTTAAAGCTCAGCTGAATTTTCAGTTTAAATTAGCTAAATTAGTTACGGGTATATCAAAGCAAAAGGTGTTCAAAGTCTTATAGTTTGTTTACTTTAGAAAGCAGGCTCAGTCTGAGAAGAAAGGCCTGTCCCCTGCCAGCATGCTGTAAAGGAGGACCCTTGCCCTCTATGTGGAGGCAGTTGTCTCTCCACAGTGGTCGAGACCATCCCATCCTGAGTCAGAGCTAGAGCTCTACATTCAGCGGGGGAGAATGAGCTTTGGTAAATTAATATTCTAGTCCTTATCATCTATTGGTTATATAGTTAAATTAAATGACTTCCCAATATGAAGTAGGAAAGGTGTTTAGGTCAGAATTGACAACTATTGTTAAAAACATTAGCCCACATGACCAGGAGGCCTGTTGACGAATGAGCCTTTCAGGGTAGTCAGGTATAGCAGTGGTTTTTAACCTCAATAGCTGTTGATAGAAAGCTAAGATTCAAGCTTTATTTAGGGCCGTGGGCCTATTCATAAACATTGTTGAAATTATTATTTTTTTATTATCACATTTTAACTTATTTCATTGCAAATGTTTACATATATTTACACTAAGAGTTTCCAGGATCAGGTTACCATGGTAAAAATCAATTGAAAAGTAAATATTGAAAAATAGTCAGATTGGTGAACTAAACATTCAAAAAAGCTATGTTCCCTTTCTAGCTGCATAAATGACATCACGCTTAGGGTGGGAATTCTTGCTAGAAATCTGAGTGAACAATCCGGTGAAAATCTTTATAAATTGGCAGAATCTACCTAAATAATATTATCAATCTACCTACAAATGTTAATGGATTATTCATTTAATTCCAAATGTGGCAGAAATGAGCATGATGACAATTTATAGAGGGAATCTATAAGAATATGATATTTCTAATATCATCCGTAGGTTGTGATTTTGAAACTGATACTGAACAATTATCACAATTTTCTATTTTTACTGAAAAAGTCAACAATGCTTGCTGTTTGTTGGTTGGCTACCTAAACAGGGCCGCCCAATCCTTGGATGCCAGACTCAGTACTTTAACAATGAAGTACATGGCTTCCAGAACTAAGGGGTCTATTTACTAAGCTGCCATAGGCAGCCGAGTGAACATCCGACCAGGAGTGAAGTGAGCCGAACGCTGTTTGGCCATTTACTTCAGGCTTGTACGGCTGATTTCAGCCGTATATCGGCTTGCTTCGTGTGGCTTTGGGTCGGCCGAACATGCTCAGCATGTTTGGCCGACCTAAAGTGCAGAAGGAGTTCGACTCAGTCGATCCAAAATCTGGATCGGCAATGCCGAACCTCCGGCAAGCTACTCGCTGCTGTTCGGTCTATTCTCATAGAAGTGTTTGTCCACTTTTTTAGTAAAAGTTAAAAACCTCTTTAAAATGTGAACCTTCAAAGATTTTGGGTTCACTCCATTCATTAATATAATTTTCATTTTTTAAATCATTTTTCCAGTTTCACCTGAGAATAATTCATTATCCTTTAGTGATACTTGAACTGATTTCAGTACTTGTCAGTACTGTTCCTTTAAACAAGTTTATTAATGTGAACTTGATTTGGCCTAAAATGTTTTAAGGTAACAACATGCTGAAGTGCATGTACCTTGGGGTGTCCGCTTAGCCCCTTGGATCCTTGGCCCAGTTCTCAACTGAGTTGAGATAAAGACCAGATACACCCAACAATAATTCTTACCCTTTGTCATTTAGCGCTCACAGTACAGAGCATCCGCTGCCCACTGAAGTACTGGCATTTAACAGTTAAATAGCGGCGGGTGAGTCTTAGCACTGAAAGGAGGCAATAATCTTGGCTTGTGCAAAAATGAAGGCCGCATTTACAGCCAAGGCCTAAATGGTGTCCATAGGTACACAGGGGTCAAACTAAGATTATCACAGGTACTAGGAGAGACCAGGCCAAGTTCAATTTTAATTTCTCCTATAACTATGCATTCTTTTTTTGAGTTCTTGTAAAACATTTTTGGGTCATACTCAAAGATCTTTGAGGACATCTCTGAGGAGATCACTGTTTGCAGGGAGAGATAATCTGTATAGCCCTGTTAATCTTGGATCTCCTTATATTTCTTTATTTCTTGTGTTTACTCTGACTGAAAAGCATTTCAAATCCTATTGCTCAAAATGAAATCTGTTTTTTTTTTATGAAGGCAGAGAACGGGATACATTTGCTGTTATTCCATACTCAGCAATCTGCCTCTCATCTGAAAACAGGCACTTTTACGCACCAGCAAACACTGCATTTTCACATTTACCCTCTGCGCAGGGCATGTAAAGCTTAGAGCACTAATGAACAGTGCATAGTCTGTTTAATGTATATATATAATCCAAGTACTTTGTTTCTTTGTAAATTACCCTTTGTTTATGTGTGTATTATGGTGCATGAAATGAAGCACATTTTGCTTCTGTTTTATTTATTTTTGTTACCTATGTAGAGTATACACATTCTTCAATAGCTCACATGTCCAATATTTAGTCCCTGTTCACACCCGGGCATTTTGCCACCCAAAGCTAAGTGCGACAAAACTCTCAACACTAGAAATCCCATTCATTTCTATGGCCCCTGTTCACAAACAGTATATAACACAGCGCCAACAGCTTGAGTCCAGGAAAGGAGACAGTCTGCAGTGATCGTGATATAAGACGCTAACAAGGCAGCTCTCAATAGGTTTTAGGGAAACCTCAGCACTGCAAAACAAAACGCCTCCATCGCGTAAAAACTTTTTATTAAAACAAATATAAACAAGTGCAATGATACTCACAAAAGTCGAGTTAAAACAGCCGGCTGCCCCTCATGTTCATATTATTTCATGCCTGTTTTAACTTGATTTTTGTGAGTAGCATTGCACTTGTTTATATTTGTATTAATAAAAAGTTTTTTATGCGATGGAGAAGCTCTCTGTGTTTTGTTTTGGACCCTGTTCACACCTAAGAGTTTCGTCGCAAGCTGTAAAATGCCGAATGCTGGAAAAGGTACACAAGCTTCTTTTGGGCAGATTACAGCACGTTTGGCCACATAGACTTCAATGGAAGCGCATTAAAACGTGCAACACAAAAGCGCTTTGCACATTTCTGTGCGCGTTTTGTGTGCGTTTGCGCGCACGTTTCCTCATTCACACCAATGCATTTTGATCTGCTCAATAAAACATGTGTCTTAGTCTTTTTGTGTGTGAAACTAACAAAAAATGTGAAAATATGCAAAACTCACAAAACCCGCAAACCATGCGAGGGAAAGACGTGCTTAAAAACGCGCTTATTTACTTGCGGAAACGCTGATGCCTACGTGTGAATGGAGACTTAGGGAAGGTAGCATGATAGTTAAAAATGTTACTGTTGACTAAGATGAGATTGAACACTCCTGAGACTTCACAGTAATTCATCGGAGGAAAAGGTGGATTTTGGCAGTTATAGCCAGACTGTGAATACAGAAAGGGGAGAATCCAGTACCACCCCAGGGTCTAATTTGTAATGCTCCAAAATTATTTAATTTCCGATTTCGAAAAAGGTTTTGTTTTTTTATGTAAAAATGATATGAAAATTAGCTGTAGTGCGGTAACAAGACCTTCTCCAGATATTATGTAACAAAGAGATTTGCGAAAGCGAAGCTTTAGGCACCTCAGCAGATGAAGAGCTCCAGGCACAGCAGATAGAACATGTAAGCGATGGGGAGAGCCGAATGGTGGGGGACATTGAGGTAATCATAATATGTTAGATATGTAGACAATTACAATTACTACATGTGATGCTTGCTTTGGTGTTTGTTTTACTGTATGCAGTCAGAAGCATGCTCTTCAGTCCTTCTAAAATTCCAGTACACTATAATTATGCTTAATTTTCATCATCACAGCCTTTATGAATTAATTAAAATATTTTCTGTAACCTTTATCGTCAGCTTTGGCCCAGTGGAGCTTACAATCTATTTTCCTCAAGCAAAGTATCACCTACATTAACAATAAATTGTTAAAACTGGTTTAAAGAAGAACTATTACAAATACCTGTACATTTTAGGGGGGCGGGGGAGGGGGGGGGGATTTATAAAAACTGTTGAAGACAGAATCTGGAGCAGTTGCCCATAGTAATCGGTCAGCTTCCTTCTTTAGTTTGGTCAGTTAAGCTTTGATAATGAAAGATAGAAGCTGATTGGTTGCTATGGGCAGCTGTTCCAGATTCTGTTTGCTCC